GTAAGTTCTTTGCAATGAGTTGTTGGATTCTATTTGCTAATCTTTTGTTGAGGATCTTTGCATCAGTGTTCATCAGGGATATTGGCCTGTAACATTCTTTTTTTGTGGTGACTGTCAGCCTTTGGTATTAGGTGACATGTGCTGCGTAGAAACTGGTTGGGAGTATTTTTGTTTCTTTGATATCCTGGAAAAGCTTGAAAAGGACTGGCAATATGTTCCTTTTAAATGTTTGGAAGAATTCGTTAGTGAATCCATCTGGACCTGGGTTTTTGTTTTTGGGAAGACTTTTGATTACAGTTTCAATTTCCTTGATAGTAATATGTCTATTCAGGTATTCCAAATCTTCTTGGTTCAGCCTTGGGAGGTTATAGGAATCCAGGAATTTGTCCATTTATTCTAGGTTCTCTTGTTTTGTGGCATACAGAGTTTCAAAGTAATCTCTGAAGATCTTTTGAATTTCTTTGTTTTCTGTTGTGATGTCTCCCTTTTCATTTCTGATTCGGTTTATTACGGTTATCTCTCTCTTTGTGAGTCTTGCTAGTGGATTATAAATCTTATTTATTTTCTCAAAGAACCAGCTCTTGGTTTCATTGATCTTTCAGATTGTTTTTTGGGGGGTTTTCATGTCTTTAATTTCTGCTCTAAGTTTTATTATTTTTTCCTTCTGCTGGTTAAGGGTCTTTTTGTTGGTCCTTTTCTAAGATCTTGAGCTGGGAAGTCAATTTATTTATGTGGGTCCTTTCTTGCTTGCTGAGAAATGCTTGCAGAGCTATAAATTTTCCCCTTAATACTGCTTTAGCTGTGTCCCACAGGTTCTCGTAGCTCATGTCTTCATTCTCATTTGTTTCCAGGTATCTTTTGATTTCTTCCTTGATTTCCTCCCTAACCCACTCATTGTTCAACGTTGATTTGTTTAATTTCCAGGTGTTTGATTTGATTCTCCACATCTGTGTGTGATTAGCCACTATCTTCAGTGCATTGAGGTATGTTTTATGATCCAGCACATGATCTATCTTGGAAAATGTTCCATGTGCACTGGAAAAAAAGTGTATTCGGTTTTTTTGGGGATTGAAGGCCCTGTATACATCGATTATCCCTCTCTCTTCTATTTCTTCCCTTAAATCCAGTACTTCCTTGCTAAGTTTTAATCTTGCTAATCTATCCAGAGGTGATAAATTGGTGTTGAAGTCTCCAACTACTATTTTGTTGCTACCAATGTCCTCCTTAAAATCTGTTAGCAGTAGTTTTAACTATTTAGGTGGTCCTTCATTGGGTGCATATATGTTTACAAGAGTGATTTCTTCCTGCTGTACATCATGATCACGATCATCCTGTTGTCCATCGATTGCCTCGAGCAGGCACCAGTAACGTTTCCTTCGTCCTAGCCCTGAGACTCTAAAAAGTGCCACATTCAAGTCTCTTTCAGGGTTAGGAGAATGAGACCCATCATTGTTACTGGTATTTGGCATATTGTGTACGCCACGGGGAGTCTGCCAGACTTTTCCGTGTGGGCAAGTTACATTCGGTGACCTGCCTGGTTGTCAAAAGCAAGAATGAGATAATAAGGCATTCGCGGCCGCGCGCTTCCGGGAGCTGGGTTTTATAGTCTCTGGGTCTTGGCCGTTGTCTTGGCCGTTGATGGGATTACACGGCACTGGGGGGCAGTTGGTGGGTGTGACCTCGCCTACTGGAAGATGGAGGATCTGGGTGGAGGATGCTCAGCCCTGATCCAAGCAGGCTTGGAGATCTCAGCCCCGGGACCCACATGCCTTTGTTCCTCTGCCATACTTTCATGCGTGTGGAGAACGGTCTCAGCATGGTTGTGGCTGGTCTGGAGGTTTTCAGCTGCTGGGCCCTGGTGAGGACAGTCAGGCACAGGGTAGGAGACTCTGCTTTGTTCTCTTCCAGGAGCTTGGTATACATATCCCTTGATTATTAAAAAATGACCTTCTCTGTCCCTTCAAATCGTTTTCTGCCTGAAATATATGTTGTCAGACACTAATATAGTGATCCCGGTTTTTTGAGGGAGTTGTTTGCTTCAAGGATCATTTTCCATCCTTTGAGTGTGAGTCTGTGTTTGCTCTGACTGTTCAGATGTGTTTCTTATAGACAGCAGAATGTTGGGTTCAGTTTTTGATCTATTTTGCCACTCTGTGTCTCTTAATTGGTGCATTTAGACCATTGACATTGAGAGAGATTATTGTCATGGAGTTTTGTGTCATCTTTCTGTAGAGATTTGTTGTACTTGAAGGGGGTTTTCTTTTCTTACAGTAGCCCCTTTAGTCCTTCTTTTAAGTTTGGTTTTGAGTCTATGAAGTTCCTGAGCTGTTGTTTATCTATGAAATAGTGTATCATTCCTTCAAGTTTGAGTGAGAGTTTAGCCAGATAATGTATTCTTGGTGAGGTGTTCATTTCATTGAGTGTGATTGCTATCTTTACTATCCTTTCCAATTTTATTTTGTAGATTTACCCCCAAATTTTATTTTATTAAAGCACTGTGAGTTATAAAGTTGTTCATAGTTGGATTTTTCACATATAGTGTTCTATCACCAATCCTGCCACCAGTGTCAACTTCCCTCCACCAGTCTTCCCAAGTTCCCTCTTCTGTACTCTGCTCCAGCCCCAGCCTGCCATCTTGACAGGCATCTTTCACATTTGATTATTAGCGTTTGGGTCTCATGATTTCAGTGCTGTTGATTCTGGGTTTGGAAACTTAGTTCAATCATTCCTTAACACCACTGATGTACCTGAAAGAAAAAAATATTTTTATTTAAATAAAACTGTCTCTGCAATTAGTTCACAATAATTTAAGAATGGGTCATGGTCACGGTTCTCCCATTGTTCATCGATTTGCTCGAGCGGGCCCAGTAACGTCTCCATCATGCGACTTGTTGTTACTGTGTTTGGCATATAGAGTATGTCACGGGTAGCTTGCCAGGCTCTGCCGTGCGGGCGAGATACTCTCCGTAGCTTGCTGTGCTCTCCGAGAGGGGCGGAGGAATCAAACTCAAGTCGGCCATGTTGGCTGCATGGAGGGCAAAAACCCTACCGCTGTGCTATCGCTCCAGCCCAATTCAAGAATACAGAAGAGTAAATCAAGCAACACTGAAAATTTCAAAGTTCTGAGAATTAGAGCTTTACTAAAATATCTTCTAAATCTCTGAAACTTTGCTTTATTGTGTGTTTTCACACGTGTGCACTTTCCTCTGGAGAGGCACCAGGGCTCTCACTAGAATTTGAAAGTTCACTGTGACCTCTCTTCTGCTCCAGGAAAAAGGAAAGACCACTACACTATCCCCTAACTAATCATGCTGGCCTTCTGAGATTATCTCTCTCTAACTCTTTAAAATGAATAAAGATGGAAATAGAATAGCTTCTGAAGTACTGCTTTCTGATACATAACATTTCTGCCCAATTCTTGATAATGTTACACTTACTGCTTTTGTAACAAGGGTTAGTCAATAGCAAATTGAAGCATACCTAAAAAGCCAGGTAGAATGATATCAGTTCAAGCAGAGAGCTCAACCTTGAATAAGCAGACATTGTCAAAGACCTAGTGGTTTTGATAGACACAAGTATCAAACAAAAACTATTTCTGACACAAAGGCAACTTGTATAATGCCAAGGTCCAAAGTGAAATTTAAGTCCCAGGATATAAAGGATAATTTCAATCATAAAAATGGGCTTTATCTAACGGAGTATAAAGATATATTACCATTTTTACAGTCACAATCTTGAATGCAAAGACATGACTTGATCAGAAACTGGACTTTAGCTTTGTTCTTAAGTCCCTATTTTCATATAGTAGCAGGAAAAATAGAAATAGCCTGAAGTCACGCATCTCTTAAAGGCATGTTTGCCTTGCACATGGATTTGATCCCCAGCACCCCATATAGTCCCCCAAGTCTGTCAGGAATGATCCCTAACCATAGAGCCAGGAGTAAACCCTGACCACCAGAGAGTGTGGCCCAAAAATAAAAAAAAATAAAAAACTGATTAACTTAAGGTAAATTTTCCAAGCTCAGTGAAACAGTTGTATGTAATCGGTTCTTGTTTCTGGTAAAGGGAAATCTTATTGGACTGTATACTGATATCTTTTACTATTGTCTAGACATGAGCATGCTTGATCATCCTCCCACATCTAGTGCGTTTATGATTTCCATTGTTATTATCTCAGTGTACCTCATCTTTAACATATTGCTATTCCTTTGACCTTCAGCTGTGTTGATTCCTCCTGGGAGTAATGCTGCACCTCACTTCTCATCATAGTAATTATTTGATTCAATTTCCTAATTCTAGTGAATATTTCTTGATTAATAATTCCAGGGGATCTGGGTTCTGCCCTTTGTTCAGTCGTCACCCGCTTCTATCTTTTCCCCTGCTTTAAGCTGATAACGTAAAGCCTTGGCTGCCATACATTGCCATACACATATGGTTTCTATCAAAGTGAAAAGAACTTATGGTTTCAATAGTTAAAGAAGTGAAAATTGCTCTGACTCATTATCATTAGGTTTATTTATAGAGGTGAATAAAACCCATACAATAAGTACTGTTAATATTTTATATTATTTAAAATTTTAAAAACCGAGGCTTCCAGAGTTCAAGTAACTCCCTCAATAAACTACTAAGTGATAAATATGGGATTTAAATCTAAACTCCTCTGACTCAAAAGCTGGAGCTCTGAACTTCTCTGTCACTGTCACTGTCACTGTCCTCCTGTTGTTCATCAATTTTCTCGAGAGAGCCCAGTAACATTGTGAGACTTGTTACTGTGTTTGGCATATCGAATACGTCACGGGTAGCTTGCCAGGCTTTGCCGTGTGGGCAAGATACTCTTGGTAGCTTGCCAGGCTCTCTGAGAGGGACAGAGGAATCGAACTCAGTTCGGCCATGTTGGCTGCATGGAAGGCAAATGTCCTACCCACTGTGCTATCTCTCTAGTGCCTGAACTTCTCTAATAGGTACTAAATTGTTATTTTCATGTCTGCTCTTTCTTACAGATACAATGAAGAAGGTTATGTTGAAGATATTCATGTAAATTTCATAGTGTGGGAAATACATGGCAGAAAGGACTATAGCTTCAATAACAGTATGGCTCAAGTATGACACTTTGGTATTTAAATAGAATTTCACATGGAATTTGACATGTATTTATATTTTAAATCTATGTTATTCAAGAATGATAAAACTTGTTAGCTATGTACAGTAAAAGACACTATTATTCCCCAGCTATGTTTCTTCATGCCCTGCATATGAGAGAGATCATTCTGTGTCTATCCAAAAAAATGCTTAAAGGCAATATAAAAAAAGAACATGAGAATGGGTCTTCAGTGGGAAGTGTGCCACTATGGGGAGGTAAGAGGAGATCTATGCTATGATAACTTTAAATCATTTAAGAAAGAGAGAGAAGACTTTGGGAAATGAAAAAATCATCCAGTACTCATCTATTGGAAGAGTGACTATTGTTAAAATCACTATCCTACCTAAACTATTATGTTTACTTAGTCCCCATCCAAATTCAGACAACATTCTTCTAGTACCTAAAAAAATGAAAAATAAAGTTTTGTGGTATTGTATGAGACCCTAAATAGCCAAAGCCTTACTGAAAAATAAGAAATTGGGAGATATCTCATTACCTAATTTGGAACTGTATTATAAAGCTATAATAATCAAAAATGCATGGTACTGGAATAAAGAGAGACTGTCTGATCAGGGGGACAGAATCAAATATCCAAAGATAAAACCCCATATATAGTTAATTTTGGCAGAATTGGGAACATGAAATGGACTAAAGATAGCCTCATCAACAAATGCTGGGAAAACAGGGTAACTACGTGTAAGAAAGTATAGCTGGATCTGTTTCTCATACCTTACACAAAAGTTATTCAGAGTGGATCAGAGACCTTGATATATAGCTGAAAAACTATAGAGTACATTGAGTAAAAACATGCAGAACAGTCCAAGATTTGTATCTCAACAGTGTCTTCAATGATCTGATATCACTGACAAAGGCAACAAATTAAAACTAAATGGTATTACATCAAATTAAAGATTTTCTGCATGATGAAACTGAAAGACTAACTGAATGTTAAACGTACTTAGATTCAATACATCAGATAAACAGTTGATAGCCAGAATATAAAAATTACAGAGATCAAAAAAATAGTCAAAAACTGTTGGATAACATTGGATTGTCCTTGCTCCTCCCTCAAGGAACTTAGGTATATCGAGTTACTCCCACAACAGTGCTCCTGAGACACACCCAATTTCATCAAGCACTAATAATTCTATATTGCTTTTTCTCTTTCCTTTATGTCATTTGTATGGTTTAGCAATGTCCTTTTTGTATAGACACAGGAAGAGAGTAGATGGTACGGTTTTGTAAGATGGGAGTTAATTGATTCCAAATAATATTTACTCCTGGGCATCCATAATATTTACTTGACTTAAACCTCAGTTGCCTTTGCTTTCTAACACCCCCAAAGGAGGATTTCAACAAAGGGACTTGACGGACCCAGGGCAAGCTGAAAGCTACCCTGGCATTGGAAAGGGGACAAGCTAAACACCATAAGTATAAGTTAAGAGCATGGTCATGGGACAAACTCTGTCATGACCCAAAAAGAAGTAACTGAATAAGAACCCTGGTGGGGGTTAGGAAAGACTAACCTGGCCTGCAAACTATGATCTGGAATATATAGCGAGATGTCCCCAGGAAGAGCCAACCTTTAAGCTTAATATATCTATTACTGTGTTCATACAAAATGACTAGAAATATTATAAGAAGTAAATTCACTATGATTTTTTTTTGCTTTTTGGGTCACACCTGGCGATGCTCAGGGGTTACTCCTGGCTTTGCACTCAGGAATCACTCCTGGCAGTGCTCAGGGGACCATATGGGATGCTGGGAATCAAACCCAGGTCAGCTGTGTGCAAGGCAGATGCCCTACCTGCTGTGCTATCACTCCAGCCCCAATTCACTATGATTTTTTAAATGGATTACTAGCTGAGTAAAGGAGAAAGCAATACACCCTAGATGAAATCCCACCCTTGAGCAGATCTCCTAATAATCTAGAGTGTTGAACCTTCAGATGAAATTTTGTCCTTGAGTTAATCTCCTAGACCTTCCCCTGAAAGAGTGGCTTTACATCTGTTTGTTGTTATAACAATGTTCAACCCCACCTATTCTATATAACTTCACGATTTCTATATAACTTTGCTGTAAGGGGATGGTGGGAACGATGATGAAGATAGGGACTAGTTAAGGACTATGAGGATGAGAATAAGGGAACTATGATGACTGGGACTGCGACCAAAACTGACTATGATTGTGCTGTAAGGGGAGAGTCTGTGTTGGAGAGGAGAGAGAAATAGACTACCAACCAGTCTGGGGCCCTGTTTCTCTGTTCCCCGGTCCTTTGTCCATCCATTGCTGTGGGCCCACCAGGGGAACGGTTCTCGGCTACCAAACGCTCTCGTCCCTCGACTGCACAATGGGCACTGGTGAAGGTATGGATGTTTCATTGTATGACCGAGACTTAGACCCGAAAGCTTTGTAACTGCTCTTATGGTTATTCAATAAATAAAATTATAAAAAATGAAAATAAAAAGTAAGGTGGATTTCATGCACAATTCAATCAGCTAACCAGTGGCTGAATAAGTAGCAGTACTCCTATATAAAAAAAATGAGAGAATATTTTTCCACGACTCTTCTGACAAAGACTTAATATTCAAGCTATCACTTAATCACTTAATCCCCGTTATTCATCGATTTATTCGAGTGGGTGCCAGTAACGTCTCCATTCATCCCGGTTGCGTGCTAGCGTAGCCCAATGGTATCTGTTCATTCTAGGAACATGCAGAGCCTCAAACCGATCATTTAGGGTCTTGACAAAGAAGTCTGACCATCTTGTAGGTGGGCGTCCACGTGATCTTTTGATGTCCCATGGAATCCAATTAGTAATGGCTCTAGTCCAGCGGTTGTCTATAAACCTCATTACATGTCCAGCCCATCTGATTTTTGATGTCTTGGCAAATGAGACAGCATCCCTGATTCTTGAGCGTTGACGAAGATCAGAACTCCGGATTCTATCTCTCATTTGAGTGAATTGTGATATTCCAAGCATAGTTCTTTCGATTCCTCTTTGAGAGACCCGAATAGCGTTCTCATCCCGTTTTCGTAGGGTCCAGGTCTCTGAGGCATATGTTAATGCAGGAAGAACAGTGGAATCAAAGAGATGTGCTCGTAGCTGGAGGTTCTTTGTCCTTTTAGTTATTTCTTCAATGCTCTTGAAGGCATTCCAAGCCGCTCTCTTCCTCCTGCGCAACTCAGGTGCCAGGTCACTCATCATGTTGATTTCTCGACCGAGGTATATATAACTGTTGCATTCAGAGATGGTTATTCCGTTGAGAGCGAATGGAGCGTCAGGAACAAGGCTGTTTCTCATAAACATTGTCTTCGTAAGATTCAGCCATAGTCCGACCTTTCCACACTCACGGTCAAAGTCGTTCAGCATTTGTGCTGCTTGGCTGATGTTTGGTGTTGTTAGAACGATGTCATCAGCAAAGCGGAGGTGGTGTAGTTGCCGACCATTTATCTTCACTCCCATGCTTTCCCATTCCAGTCGTCGCATGATGTTCTCGAGGGTGGCACTGAAGAGTTTTGGTGAAATGGTATCACCCTGCCGAACCCCTCTCTTGATATGGATGATTACTTCTTTGTAGAATGGTGAGATCTTGGTAGTGAATCTGCAATAGAGTTCACGAAGGATCCTGATGTATTGAGTTTGTACGCCCTGATTGGCTAGGGCTTCCATGACCGCTTCCATCTCAACAGAATCAAAGGCCTTCTTTAAATCAATGAACGTTAGACAGAGCGGCATCTTGAACTCCTGAGAAACCTCAATGAGCTTAGTAATCGTGTGGATATGGTCGATGGTACTGAATCCTTTTCGGAATCCAGCTTGTTCACATGGTTGTCCTTCATCTAGTGTTCTGCTAATCCTATTCAGGATGACTCGAGTGAATAGTTTGTAGATGACAGACAATAGGCAGATTGGGCGATAGTTGCCAATGTCATGGATGTCTCCTTTCTTGTATAGTAGTACAGTCCTGCTGGTTTTCCATTGGGATGGAACCTTGCATTCAGACAGGTAGCGTGTGAAGAGCCGAGCCAATGTATTGATGAGTACTGATGGTAAGTTCTTCAGGTGTTCAGGTCTGATCTTGTCTGGGCCAGGTGCTCTTTGTTTCTTTACCGACGAGATGGCATGTTGGATTTCGGAAGGGAGAACATTGGGAACGACATATCCATCATGTGGTATGTGGTATGTGGGCAAGTGGACGTGGCTATTAAAGAGATCTGAGTAGAAGTCATGAATAATCTTCTCCATTGCCCTTCTGGAAGATGTGATAGATCCATCATGATGTCGGAGGGCAGTCATCTTGGTTTTGTAGTTGGTGAAGGACAGGCGGGCATTTCGAATTCAAGCTATACTTATACTTTTATACTTATAAAACTTGTAACTGAAGAGATAGTGCAACAGACAGGGCAATTGCCTGTAAGACCTGTGCACCAATGGGTGTGCTTCTTCCCCCAAGACCAAACAGAAAAACAACAACAACAACAACAAATCTCATAAAATTGGAAAGAGATATAAACCAAACTTTCTTAAAGAGGACATACAGATGGCTAGTAGTAGATGAAAATTATGCATCTCTTATCAGAGAAAAGCAAATAGAAACAATGAGATATAATTTAACACCTGTTAATCATTCACACATCAAAAAAGAACAAAACAACCAGTGTTAGGTCTGCGAGGAAAAAATAACCTTCATCCACTACTGGTGGAAATGTCAACTGGTTCAATTATTTTGGAAAACAATATGCAAACCCATATAAAAATTAAACAAGTCTTAATTAAAATTCCACATGATCCAGCAGTTCCACTTCTGGGCATCTATTTACCTGAAGGTCCAAAATTTCTATTCCAAAAAGACACTTGGGGCAGGAGCAATAGTATAGCAGGGAGGACATTTGCCTTGCATGCAGCTAAGCCAGGCTTGACCCCCAGAAACCAATATGGTCCTCTGAGCCCCCCATGAATGATTCATAATTGCAGAGTCAGGAATAAGCCACGATAACTGCCAGTTGTGGTCCCAAATCAAAACAAAACAAAGACATTTGTACTCTTATGTTGATTGCAACACTATTCACAGTACTCAAAATATAGAACCAACCAATGTCCAACTGGATAAGAAATATGTATGTGTGTGTATATATATGTATGTGTGTGCATGTATATATATGCATATATATAAAATGGAATACAATCCAGCTATAAGAAAAGGAAAAAATGGTGCAATATTCTGGTACGTGGATGAAGCGATAGGGTATGATGCTGAGTGAAGTTAGCCAGAATAAGGATAAATAAAGAATGCTCTCTCTCTCATATGTAGATTAGAAAAAAATAGGAAGGGAACAGCAAATGGCCAAAGGCAATGGGACTTGAGAACTGGTCTAAAAACTGATCCTACCATGGTGGAGGGACAGCAGGGTGAGGGTATGTTAAGTGAGGGACCCTGAGACAATATTGGAGAGAAGTGGATACTCTGGAGGAGGGTGTGGTATTGGAATATTGTATGCATTAGACCTATCAATAACAATATTATAAATCCTGATGATTAAAATAAAATTTTAAAAAATAACAAGTGCTGGTGAGAATGTGGAAATAAGAGAATCCTTTTATATCACTCAGCAATTCTATTTCTGGATATATATCCAAAGAAAATGAAATTGCTCTTTTAAATAAATATTTGTGCCTTCATGGTCATTGAAAAATCATTTACAATAACTAAGAGATGGAAATAAAACCCAAATATCATGTGTCTGGAGAGACAGAGTTCATTTGTTGTGTATATGATGGAATATTCAGCCATGCAAGGTAGAAATTTTGTCATTTTTCATAACATGAATAAATATTGTGGTTTTTGTGCTAACTGACCTCACTTATTAAAAAAAACCTTATAGAAATAACATAGATTCTTGCTTACAAGGAGTGCAGGAGGGAAACTAAAATTGGCCAAAAGGTACAAATGTCCAGTTCTAAGTAGAATAGGTTTTGAGAGAGTATAACAAGTTAACTATAGATAATATTATTATGTACCTAAGAGGTGCTAAGTTCTCATCATATGTAATGATGAGATGAGAACTGTAAGTGATCTCAATAAAATAGCTATGTGAGTTGATATATATGTTAAATAACTTTACTGTGGTAATCACTTCACAATATATATTTAACATTATGATAGTACATTGCACAATTTTTATGTTGATTAAAATTCCAGTGAAGCTGGAAACGTTTTTAAATTATTTTTTGAGTTCTAACAAGATCAATATACAAAAGTCAGTTATTTCTTTATATGCCAGCTAACATTGAAACAGCAAAATGTTTTAAATGTACAATTTTCATAGCATCAAAATATATTAAATTCTTAGAAATAAACAGGAAACACTTTAAATAATAAAAGTGTAGAACAAGAGAGATAGTATAGTCAATAAGGCAATTGCGTTGCTCACAGCCAACCCAGACTCAATTCTCAGCTTTCCCTAAGATCCCCTGAGCACCACCAGGAGTGATTCCTGAGTACAGAGCCAGGAGTAATTCCTGAGGACCTTAAGGAGTGGCCCAAAATCCCCTCCAAGAAAAATTGAAAATTGTATTGACTTACAATTGGTTTATAAAATGATAGATGTTTGAGGAGTTCAACTTCATACCTCACTATGACTGTTGACCTCACTACATAAACAAATATTATAAATATTATAAATAAATAATATAAATATTTCAACAGAGTGGTTGTTTGAGGGAAGCCCAGACATGGAAGTCAATGACTGAGTTTAACGAGAGCCTTCCATTAGAAGATGCGTGGGGACCAGAGGTAAAAAACAAATATTATCTTATAAACTGTTTCTAATAACTAATCGGGGTGAGTTGGAGAGAGTTGTTAGAGGGACCCCGAGACAATAGTGGAGAGAAGCACACACCATTGTGTCCTTCACCAATGGTGGAAGGTGTGGTGTTGGGATGTTGCTGGCTTGAAACCCTATCAGTAACAATATGGTAAATCACAGTGCCTAAGATAAAATTTTAAAAAAATGTTGTAGAATTTGGAGATGTCACTCCAGGAAATCCAGAATTTTTAACTGGGTGGAAAAGTTGGAGTTAAATTTTTACTGGGCATGACTGTTGGGCTTTGATAAATATGGGTAGGTGGGGGGGCGGTAACCTATCCCATCTCAGAGAAAACCTGGCAATTTCAGCCACAGGGACCACATACCTGAGTTTTTTAGAAGGTTAATTTCTCTGTGAGGCTCAGTCCCAAGAGGACAGAGTTCAGCCAGAGGCATGGCAGCAACTTTGGAGAATGAGAACCAGCAACTGCTGGGACTTTGTTTGGGTGGGCGCTGGCCTGCCCCTCTCCGGAGTGCCTAGGGTATCTCAGCCAAGAATGGCTGTCTGAGAATTTTTTGTAGCTATTTGATATCTTTCTAACAAGTTCTCAGATGTTGCTAGTATTTATTATTTGAAGATGACATTTAAGAGCCACTGAATGGAAATAGGAACCCTCATCCACTGATGAGAATGTTGACTGATCCATTCTTTGGAAAACAATATGGACACTTCTCCAAAAAGGAGGAAGTTATTTCCATTCTGATCCAGCAATTCTGTTTCTTAGCACTTATCCCAAGAGCCCAATAACTCTCTTCAGAAAATACATTTCCACTCCTATGTACATTGCAGCACTATTCACAGTAGCCAAAGTCTAAAGAAAGCTCACATGCTCAACAACAGATGACTGAATAAAGAAACTGTAGTATATATACACAATGGAATACTAATCCTCTATAAGAAAAGACAAAATCATGTGATTTGTGAATTACAGACCCTGAATGGGTCTAGAGAATCTTATGCTGAGTGAAGTATATGTCGTACATAAAATCATATAGTAAAGAAACAACAAAAACTCAAAGGCAGCAAGGCTTAGAATTGGTCTTTAATATGAAGCACATTACTGTTGGGGGGTTGAGAGTAATATGGGAGATGGGGATCACTGGGACATGGTGGAAGGAAGCTAACACTCTGATGGAGAGAAACCCTGCCAGAATCAATATTGTTAATCACAGTGCCTGAAATTTAAAAGAAAAAAATGGAGCCACTTAAACAGTGATGAAGAGATAGTAAAGTGATTGAAACACTTGCCTTGCATGCATCTGACCCTGGTTTTATCTCTGGCACTGCACATTGTTCCCCAAGCACTGCCAGGAGTATCACTGTCACTGTCCTCCCATTGTTCATTGATTTGCTCGAGCGGATCCAGTAACGTCTCCATTGTGACACTTGTTACTGTGTTTGGCATATCAAATACATCACAGGTAGCTTGCCAGGCTTTGCTGTGCGGGCGAGATACTCTCAGTAGCTTGCTGGGCTCTCCAAGAAGAGCAGAGGAATCGAACCTGGGTAGGCCATGTGCAAGACAAATGCCCTACCCACTGTGCTATCGCTCCAGCCCACCAGGAGTGTAATATAATATATAAACAATATAGTCAAGAGTATAGGAGTAACTTTGAGGACTGCCAGCTGTGGCCCAGAATCCACCCCTGACAATGCCCCAAAGAAGAAAACTTGATGCATACTAGAAAGATATTGATTACCTATGCTTGGACCTAAGTGTTCAATTTTGCTGTATGAAAAACACAAGTCTCATCACTTAAAGTATTAGTACTGTCTGGAATCTGAACATAATATAGAAGGCAATTATATCCTGGTAAGCAAGATTGCCTTTACTGTAGGGGTTCATTGTCTAATGCCATAATATGGTATTAGACATTTCTTAAAATATGTATATAAAATGAAATAGCCTTGACTTTTCACATTATACTCATGACTAGATAGCCTCAATTCTATGATGAAAATGACACTTTTATAAAAGATCTGAGATATAGTTATAAAGACTGCCAAGTATCATTTTTACAGGTTTCAAGACAATATTAGACTTAAAAAAGAAATGAAGAATGTGAATTTTGAATAATTAGCAACATTCATTTGGTACAGATGGAATTTGGCTTTGGGGACATGGCTGGTCTACTAGCCTGAGAAGTTTATGTCTAGAAATGCAGTGTAATTTGTGAGGCTAGGGAATATGTATTTTCTCAGAGACTAGATAACTTTGTCAATTGTTTTTTAATTGCTAGGGAACAACAAATGGGTGAAGTCATCATAAGTGAAAATTTTATCTATTTAAGAGATATTATGGAAGGGACCCTTAATAGCTTAGACATTGGTGAAGAAAAGCAGGCACTTTGGCGATAGGTGAGGTGTTGGAATTATGTAATGTGTGTATTATAAGTTTAACAAACAGTATTGTAAAACCCAGTGCTTCAATGATAAAGTATTTTTAAAAGGCACTCTAAATAATTAAACACTTGAAAACATGTTTTTTTACGGAATAAAAAGGGAAGTATTTGAAAACTATCTGATAATTTAACAGGAAATATCAGGAGTAACATACAGAAAGAGTATGTCAGACATTCATAAATAGGTGAGAAATTAACAATTATTAACAATACCTCCAAGTGTTCAAATACAAAAATATATATGATAGGTGAATAGTTCCTTACATACACCTATATTGTTATGATGAAAATAATGCCTCATTCAATGATGGTTGGAAATGATCATTCTGGACAAGAACTGAGTACTGAAAGGAGATAAAGTGATAGACATGATAACTTTTCAGTACCTGTATTGAAAGTCACAATGCCTAAGAGAGAGAGAGAGAGAGAGAGAGAGAGAGAGAGAGAGAGAAGGAAAGTATATTCCACTGAGGCAGGCTGGGGAGAAGTGGTGAGAGAGAAATGCAACATTGGTGGTGGAAATGTACACAGGTGTTGAGTGTTGATACATTGTATGACTGAAACCCTATCATGAACAGTGTTGTAACTGTGTATCTCACAGTGATTTAATTAAAAAGAGGAGGAAATATTGTCCAGTTTTGGACATGTATTTAGTGTATGCCTTGTATTTTTTGATTAAGCTCATGATCCTATGAATTAACCAAGTTAGTGTTAACTAATGTAGATGTTTGCAAGTCAAGCTAATATTCACCCAAAAAGACCCTCCACCCCCAATGATGTATCATGTTTCAAGTTAAGATGCACTAAAAATTAATTTCACTTTGCTTTTATTAGTCCACACCCAACATACGGTTTTATAAAAGTACCAAGTATTCCAGGGGTAGAACAGTCTGCAAAGGCTAGAATTAGTAGATAAAGGAAAGAAGAAAAAACTGAAAAGAATTATTCAGCGGTTAACCAAACAGTTCAATTAAAGAAGATCACAAAATACTTTAGGGATAAAAATCACAAAAACAATTCTATTGATTGATTTATGTAAAGTAAAATAACCTACTATGGGAAATTTAGGCATTTTAAGTGTTAAGATAATATTTTCCTTCCAAAATTTCACAGTTAGAAATGCTGGCATGAATATATGCATTGTAGCACTGTTGTACTGTCCTCCCGTTGTCCATCAATTTGCTCGAGTGGGCACCAGTAACGTCTCCATTGTGAGACTCGTTGTTACTGTTTTTGGCATATCGAACATGCCACGAGGAGCTTGCCAGGCTCTGCCGTGCAGGCGGGATACTCTCGGTAGCTTGCCGGGCTCTCCAAGAGGGACAGAGGAATCAAACCCAGGTCGGCCACGTGCAAGGCAAATGCCCTACCTGCTGTGCTATCGCTCCACCCATGAACATAGTACTGTCCTGTAGCGCAATGGTCCCGTTGTTCATTGATTTGCTTGAGCGGGTACCAGTAACGTCTCACAACCAATTGTGAGACTTGTTACTGTTTTTGGCATATCGAATACATCACGGGAAGCTTGCCAGGCTTTGCCGTGCGGGCCAGATACTCTCAGTAGCTGGCCGGGCTCTCCAAGAGGGGCAGAGGAATCGAACCTGGGTCATCCACGTGCAAGGCAAATGCCCTATCTGCTGTGCTGTCATTCTAGCCCCATGAATATATATATACATATATATATATATATATACATATATACGTATATGTATATGAGAGACCTAGGGCCAGAGATATAGTATGGGGATTAAGTCTAGTATCTCGCATGTGACCAAGTCTTGTCCAATCTTTAATGTTCTCTAAGCACCACAGGATACCACCCTGAAGGCAGCTGAGCACAACTGGGATGGTCCAGGTACCCCAGCACCCAGAATCCAAATGCCACTGAATTAAACCAGCAGTTCAGTTTACCAAGAATCACCAAGAGTGACCCCACGACAGCCTAAGTATTCCAGTTTACAAAACCAAATTAAGGGATTATACAAGCTATTCCTGTTTTCTCCAAAACCAAGTAAAAAATGGGAAAGAATATTGTATTAGCAATACCTCTGTATTGAAATGTAGGGAGTACGTGAAGAAAATTAAAAAATAAAATTTGAATAAATCAAATAGTAGCTACTCTTTCAGATTCTATTGAAATAATTCATCCATGCAGAGAATATATGACCAGGAGATGAGCCAAGAATGATGACAGTAAAAACTTCTGGGCATAATAAAATATAGGGGAAAGGTTTTTTATTTTATTTAAAAAAATTAAAGCACTGTGACTTACAAAGTTATTAATAGTTAGGTTTTATACATACAATGTGTCAGCACTACTCTCTCCACCAGTGTTCTCAGATTCTCTTTCCTATCTGCCCCCCACCCCCAGCCTGCCATCTTGACAGATGATAGAAATGAATAGAAGTGGATTCCTTTAAATAGGATGTGAAAGCACACAGGACTTAGAAAATAAAAAAACAAAACAAACAGAAGTACCATTTTGCTTTTAGGTCAGTAATATGTACATTTTAAGTATTTTTTTTCTTAGTTTTAATAAGGATAGTAAAAGAAAGGCTCATTTCACTTGTGCTTTTCAAAGATTGTTCAGTATATTAAAATTTAAAAATTCTTTCTAGTTTGTATATTAAATCTCAGCAGTATAATAGTGGTAATGGTGTAAATAAAAGCCCTAGAAGAAGACAAAATTTGTACATATACTATTTTGACTGTTATGAATAAAATAGTTTCTGTACCAAACTAAGCTACATGGATGGCTTTTCTGCTTTTTTTATTTCACTGTCACTGTCATTTTCACTGCCCTCCTGTTGTTCATCGATTTACTCAAGCAGGCTCAGTAACATTGTGAGACTTGTTACTGTGTTTGGCATATTGAATACGTCAAGGATAGCTTGCCAGGCTTTTGCCTTGTGGGTGATATACTCTTGGTAGCTTGCCGGGCTCTCCGAGAGGGGTGGAGGAATCAAATTCTGTCACTTTTTTGAGTAAGGGAAATAATCTATGCATATTGTCAATGACCTAATTTATTATTAAATACAAATAAAAATACAGAATTTGCATTCACTAAGCTTTGCTTATTAACAACTTTAACCTGATATAACTTCTCAAAATACTGTATGTTACTAAAAATTCATGAACCTATACATTACACCTGTAAATAATTGCACCTGTAAATAATTTTCATTACACCTGTAAATAATTTTCCAAAAGACGAGAGCATAATTGGAGCAATAGTGCAGCGGTAGGGCGTTTGCCTTGCACGCAGCCAACATGGCCGACCCGAGTTCGATTCCTCCGCCCCTCTCGGAGAGCCCGGCAAGCTACTGAGAGTATCTTGCCCGCACGGCAGAGCCGCCCGTGATGTATTCGATTTGCTTTTTAAAGTCATAAAATTATCATGATTTTTTTTGGTTTGTTTCCTATTCAGAACTATAGGCACTGTTTTTCTCTTTCTGGAAAACGAGAAGACTTAAATCAACCATATGAGATTATCAACAAGACTAACAAAAACCATTTAGTGTGGCCAATGGACCATACTGGAATGTATGTGTTTCGTGTGAAGATACTGGATCCAAACTATAGGTGAATATAAGTATTCTTCTGTTGTTATTTTTTGTTAGTATTAGTTCCCCAAAATATTTTCTTTGATTTAATTTGATGTCACTAAAATATGTAATAATTGCTATTCTTATTTGCATATTTTGTGGCATTTTATAATAAGATTTTGTGTTAAACATGAATAAATTCACTATATTCTGAGCAGTATATTTCATGCTGTTATAATTATAAATATTACAATCACAATTGAAGCCTTCAAAGTGCTTAATTAGACTAGTTGGTGAAGGAGTTGGAATATAATTGCAATCAAAGGGAGGTTAAGATCTTTACAGCACACTGCCGTAGAGAGCCACATGGAGGGCTGGCTCCACAGCTCCCGGAGAAGAAACCAAGTTCCAAAAAGAGCCGAGATCACCGGGAAGTCCCAGATGGGGTAGGTGCCGCATCCCCCTCCCCCAGATGGAACCCCGGTGACCAGAAGCCTCCACAAGCATAACTCGAGTATGCGGGAACTGGGACTTTTCCTCCAAACCGTGCGGCCACATAAGCGACTGCGCGACATCTCTGTATATACAAAGTGATCAATGGGAAGTAAATCACCCAATGTTTCTCCCTGAAAATCAGAGTTAAGTTTGGAGCACGGCCACAGACCCAGAAGCACAAGGACTTAATGCAGAACCCAGTAGCTTAGAGCAGAAAAGTGAACGAACTATGCGTTAATCCAAGCCATCATGTCTGCCTGGAGAGGAAAGGGTGTTGCTCCCTTCCGCCCTCCTCCCTCTGGAAAGAAAGATGGCGGCCGCATGGGAGCCTTGTGGACAGCAGGTATGAGCCGGGGGTGCGGGGGTGACAAAAACCTCATGGGAAGGGGGGCGTTCCGGTCCGTCCTTCACGTCCTACTGAGACCACCAGTTGCCCCCCACGAGCGGCTCTCCAGCATGGCCACAGCCCCAGAAGCACAAGGACTTAATGAAGAACCCAGCAGCTTGGAGCAGAAAAGTGAAAGGACTATGCGTTAATCCAGGCCATCAAGTCTGCCGGAGGGGAAAGAGTGTTGCCCCATTCGCCCTCTCTTCTCTGGAAAGAAGGATGGCGGCCACATGGGAGCCTTGTGGACAGCAGGTATGAGCCCGGGGTGTGTGGGGGCGACTAAAACCTTATGGGAAGGGGGGCGTTCTGGTCCGTCCTTCACGCCCTACCGAGGTCACCAGTTGCCCCCCACGAGCAGCTCTCCAGCACGGCCACAGCCCCAGAAGCACAAGGACTTAATGCAGAACCTGGCAGCTTGGAGCAGAAAAGTGAAAGGACTATGCGTTAATCCAGGCCATCAAGTCTGCCGGAGGGGAAAGGGTGTTGCCCCATTCGCCCTCTCCTCTCTGGACAGAAAGATGGCGGCCGCATGGGAGCCTTGTGGACAGCAGGTATGAGCCGGGGGTGTGGGGGCAACTAAAACCTCATGGGAGGGGGGACGTTTTGGTCTGCCCTTCACGCCCTACCGAGGCCACCAGTTGCCCCCCACAAGCGGCTCTCCAGCACGGCCACGACGCCAGAACACAGAAACCAATTTATTAACTATCTGACTTTCAGTAGAAATACTTCCAGGGTCAATAGGTAAAATAGCAGAAATCCAAAAACAACATTTAATTCTTGAACCCAGCTGTAGAAAGCAAATCACTTCACAATGCTTTTTCAGCACGTCTGATTGGGGGGGGGTAAACTCTAAATAATAGTGGTGAATCTTTTATTGAAACAATGAATCTAACCAAAGCAGATAGAGTGTTAACTAGAATTCATCTGCCTCACAGGGACTGGGAGGGGTGGGGTGTGGGGTTTTATTGGGGTTCTTCATGGTAAAAAATAAGTATTGGTAAAGGGAAATGTGTTTGATATTTGCATGACTGAGACCTAAACCTGAAAGCTTTGTAACCTTTCCCACAGTGATTCAATAAATAAATAAATAAATAAATAAATAAATAAAAAGATGGCAACTATAAAAAAAGGTTAAGTCAGAAAAAATACATAACATATTTTACTAATGTTAAATATTTGTGCTGTTGATGAGCACAATATTGAATGATATGAGAACAAGAAATGTTATTTAACAGAAGAAATTTGTCAGAAGAAAACAACCTAGGGGATATGGAACATATGGAAGATGGATATTGCCAAAGAATTAGGATAGAACCTTCAAATGAAAATCATACCACTAATAGTATGAAATTGAGAATACTAAACCATCTATCGATCATGAAATTATGATTGAAGGTAGAACTAGGAAGATGGAAAACAAAAGAAGCAGACTAAGATGATTTATAATGTAGAAGTCAATTTTAAACTATGTCCAAGAGACACTGGTGGAAAGAAACAGACTCTCCGATGGTGATGTGGTTTGGGTATGATGTACACATGGAAAGTATGGCTCACAGTATTGTAAATCCCATTCCCTCAGTTAAAATGGATTTAAGAAAAAGAACTATGTCCTCATTATTCTCTTTATGAGAGAAATGTTGTGATTAAACTATAGCTCTAGTAAAATTAACTTGAAAATAGCATTGCAAATATAGCATCAAAGGTAAGTAAACTGTATGCTGAAAAATGATAAAAAGTAAAGAAAGTGCTAGTGATAGCAAGAATGAAAAATTGGAAAATTCTTATAATTATGTCTCAAGATACAACAGATTATTTAATCTCATGGTAAAAGGTAAAGGTAAAAAGGTAAAGGCCCTCCCATTGATCGTCGATTTGCTCGAGCGGGCCCAGTAACGTCTCCATTGGAGACTTTGTTGTTACTGTGTTTGGCATATCGAATACTCTCGGTAGCTTGCCGGGCTCTCCGAGAGGGGCGGAGGAATCGAACTCAAGTCGGCCATGTTGGCCGCTTGTAAGGCGAACGCCCTACCGCTAAGGATCAATGTATTCTCATGTTTTCTAATTTAGATAATGACAAGTTATTGTAATTTTTTTGACCAAAATATATCATGAGGTAATTTTTCCCTGGAGGTAGCATTGCACAAAGAGTTCTGACTCTGTGTTTGAGTCATAATAAAATATCTAAATGAGGTCACGGTCCTCCCGTTATTCATCGATTTGCTCGAGCGGGTCCAGTAACATCTCCATCCTGAGACTTGTTGTTACTGTGTTTGGCATATTGAATACGTCACAGGTAGCTTCCCAGGCTTTGCCGTGCGGGCGAAATACTCTCAGTAGCTTGCCAGGCTCTCTGAGAGTGGCAGAGTATTCGAACCCGGCTCAGCTGGGCCAGCTGCATGCAAAGCAAACGCCCTACTGCTGTGCTATCGCACAGCAGTAAATATGTGGATATTTTATAAACAGTTAAACATTCTAATTTGGGTCTTAAGTTGAGAGGAATAGTTGGTGATAAAGAATTGAAAGTACAAATGTGCATATACTGAAGTGATTCCATGACATACACAAGCTAAAAGAGAAGAAAAGAGCTCTGGAAAATTCCATAGTTGAGGGCAGTAGGATGATGCAGGCAGAAATATTTTCAAATAAAACCCATAATGATGAGGGGAAAGTACAAATTAATAGGAAATCCCAGTATAATAGGATATTTAAATGCGATTTTCTCCACTATCCATCTTGAGCAGAAGTTCCCAAACCAATTTCTACCATGTTCTAGTATGATCTATGAGGGATTTGCAAGGAGGTTCTCCCCAAAGTTTAAGCTCTTCTGTGTGAAGAAATCAGAAGTGAAAATCTCCAGCCATCTTCAGTAAGATAAAACAAAAAATACATGATAAACTAACTATGTGACTACATAAATAACCCCCTACAGCTGGACCTCATAAAAAGGCAGCAGATACCATTTCCATTACCAAAAAGCCACCTGCCTCAGATTGGGTGGCCAGCTGTGTCAGTTTTGCTCTTCTTTTGCAATTTTGAATGGCACTTCCAGGAAATTGATCATCCTACTTTTCCGTGAATGGATCAGAGTCTAGGGTAAAGGTAAAGATAAAGGCCCTCCCGTTGATCGTCGATTTGCTCGAGCGGGCCCAGTAACGTCTCCATTGGAGACTTTGTTGTTACTGTGTCTGGCATATCGAATACTCTCGGTAGCTTGCTGGGCTCTCCGAGAGGGGCGGAGGAATCGAACTCAGGTCGGCCATGTTGGCCGCTTGTAAGGCGAACGCCCTACCCGCTGTGCTATCGCTCCAGCCCAGAGTCTAGGGTAAAATTCCTAAATTAGTCCCACACAATACTAAGAAAAACTTCATTGGCTGGAGGGATAGCACAGCAGTAGGGCGTTTGCCTTGCACGCAGCCAGCCCGGCCGAGCCAGGTTCGATTCCTCCACCCCTCTCGGAGAGCCCGGCAAGCTACCGAGAGTATCTCACCCGCAGGGCAGAGCCTGGCAAGCTACCTGTGACATATTCAATATGCCAAACACAGTAACAAGTCTCACAATGGAGACGTTACTAGGCACTCGAGGAAATCAATGAACAACGGGAGGACAGGACAGTGGACAGCAAGAATAGGCCATCACTCAAAAACAGTTGGGGAACAATGGAAAAAAAGTTTGACTAACTGAATCAGTCACACATACCCCCCAAAAAGGAAGGCACCATACTGAGATATGAGAAAAAATGGACCTTGGGGACTGGAGTGATAGTACAGCAGGTTGCATGTTTGTCTTGTCTGGATTCAATCCCCAGCACCCTATATTGTCCCCTGAGCCCACCAGAAGTAATCCCTGAGTGCAGAGAGGCAGTAAACCCTGAGAACCACCAGGTGGCCCAAAAAGTAAAGACAAAAAAAAATGGACAACAAAAAGAGAAGAAACATGAGATGGCTGAAAAATCAAATTCAAATTTTTGGTGAGACATGAAAAATAATTGTAATAATAAAACAAGAACGTATTGTAAATTTTAATTTAATTAAGCCCCAGGGGTTTCTATTTCTAGCCGTCTCTCAGGGATGCTAGAAAGCAAACCAAGTACAGCCTCATGCAAGATAAGCACTTTACCAACTATACGATCTCTCTGATCTGAGCAATTTTTTAAAATAATATAGGAGCAACATAAAAACTGTTCAAAACTTAAATATAATACAGGAACTCCAGGCGTGTGACTCAGAGGTGGAGCACTTGCCATGTATGTGTAAAGCCCTGAGTTCAATTCCCAGCATTGCCCCACAGTTCAATTCTTAGCAATGCTGCAGCAAGTACAGATTACTGGGATGAAACAGCAACCAAAAACGCCGATTAATTAATTAACTTAAAGCCCTACACAGAGTTTTTTTCTAAAGAGTGTGAAATGGTAAATAAATTTAATTCATAAAAGCAGCATTAATTAAAAGGACATATTCAATGCTACAGGGCGTTTGTGTTCTTCCACTGTATTTATATGTTTAAATTGAAGCAGGAAGCAGGTAGGTACACAGTTGGGAGGCAATGGGAGTGGCAAGTGCCCTAGCACTATGGATTATAGAAGTTACCCTGGCATTAGCCTAAAAGTATGAAGTTAGATGAAATTCTAACTGCTGCAAGCCCTAACCTGGCTTCCACCTCTGAGAGGAAAATCTCTAACAGAAACAATAGGTTGTGCTAAGAGTATGAAAGACTATCAAGAAATATGCCAAGCTCTTCCCCTTTATAACCCCAACCACAGAGTCTTATCTACACAGAAACCCCCAGTTTGGCAATGGGGTTGGGGGAACCTTTTAAATCAATTTAGAAAGGCAAATGAGGCACATTCCCTATAATGGAATTCCTTATGCTGGAATATACTCATACTCAGCTTGGGGGATGTGTAACCTCAGGATTCTATCCCCTCTGGAGAAACCATTCTCTCTCTCTCTCTCTCTCTCTCTCTCTCTCTCTCTCTCTCTCTCTCTCTCTCTTTGCCTTTTTAAATACACCTGGTGATGCACATGGGTTACTCCTGGCTCTGCACTCAGGAATTACCCCTGGCGGTGCTCAGGGGACCATATGGGATGCTGGGAATCGAACCTGGGTTGGCCGCATGCAAGGGAGACACCCTACCCATTGTGCTATCACTCCAGCCCCCAAAACAATTCTCTCTTAAATCTCTCCTTTTGCCCTATCTCTCCCTCTTCTCCTTCCTCCCTCTTTCTCCTCTCATACTTACTTAATTCTAAACCTCCTTCCTGAAATTATCTTCTGCAAGAGTAGATAACAGACCTTGGACTGAGGTCAGAACTGACTTTTATTCTGCAAAGAGCAGTTCTGTGCTCCAGGCTGAGGATATTACTCCAATAGAACTTGGATACTAATGACTAGCTCCTGATCTCTAGTGGCCCTTTCCCAAGAAGGCAGAACTGGGTCAAAGAGAAAGGATAGTGGTACTCACTCTTGAGATTACTACTTCCCTCTCTGTCCACCTCTGCCAGTTCATCTACATCACTTGGTGAGAGAGCCAGGAGTCAGATGATCTGCAACTAAATTCTTGGTGAGGGTGGAGGTGGGGGGTGGATCATGAACCAGAGTGTGGGGCCTCACCAGACACTGAGTCTCCCAACAACATGATTTGGGATTTTTTAGCCTAAAAACTATGAGAAATAAAATAATCTTGTTTATAGTAAACAATGTATGGTACTTTATCATAATAGCTTGAACTGAGATGTCTATTATTAATTGAAGAAGAAAGAATAGATGACATCTGAAAAATAAATAATAGATGAAATTTTCATGGATCAAAAACCATTCAGAGGAAGAAAAGAAGACCTCTGAATTAAAGATCAGATATTCCAAAAAGTTTGTACCTGAACATAAGCTTATAAAATTAAGAAATAGTAAACGACATAGCACACAGCTGTAGGCTTTTAATCATGGTGTGATCGAATTTAAGTGTGGCTAAAGAGAACCAAGTATAATAATTATGATTTTTACACATAGTCTTGTTATAAATAGAATTTACAACAAACTATACCATCTTTGTAAGTGGTTAAGCTACTCTGGAATGGGGCAAACAAAGCAAAAGTGAAAAGTTCAAACGCATTTAAGCTTGTGCACTTTATGGGAAAAAAAAGTTTTCATCCAAATGAAAGGACTGACAGGAAGTAATAAAGAGTGTTTGGGGGAAAGGAATACACAAGATGTGACAAAGACTAGTGACCAATCCAAAAGTAGAGCGCTTCTGTGAAACCTTTCATGCTGAAGCAACATGATTGTAATGAATTTATATGAGAAAATTTAGCATTCAAAGACTTACCAACCCCCCCCAAAATCAACCATCAGATCATGCCAAATAACACATGAAACCTAAAATAACACTAACATAGTAAAAACAGGAGTTATGTACATACCTGTATAAAGTAGTTCCAAGGAAAAAGCTTGGTGGGACCATTCTTATTGCCTCTAAAATGACTGATGCAAAACAAATTTTGCTTTGTATCTTTAATTATAGAAACATAAACATTCTTCATGTTTCTTTCCACTAGCAATAACCAGGGTATAAACTTTCAAAACTTGGGAAATGCCATTTTTCTGTGAAAATCCTATGACACATATCTGTACCACTAAGTATTTTCAATATAGTGCATTGTGCTGTTTGTGGATTATGCAGCTGTGCTGCTCTACAGATTGGTGTGATGGTTGAGTCTGCTTTGGTTTGAATCCTAATTTTGCCAGTACTATCTCTTTGTACAGTCTTAGTCAAAATTCTTGGTTTCTTTGAATCTATTTCTTTATCTATAAAATGATTTAATAATCGTATCTTACTCTATTATGAGGATTAAATGAAGTACCTGAGTGAAAATCAATAATTTTGCTACATACATAGCAAATACTCTATAAAAGTAAATTCTTTTCTTTTCTCTTCACCCACATGAAGGTATATGAGAAATGGTGTCATTAATATTTATTTACCTAAATTCTGCCTAATTCTAAGCATTAAGCTAAATAATGAAACTCCGTAACTTTAGGAAAGATGACACAATTCTGATATCAAGCTCCTAACACTTAATACTCCTAACACAGTCAGTCATTCTCAGGTGTGGCTATGGCATCAGAAAAACTTGAATTCTTAGCTCTTCCACTTACAACTATGTCAACTTCTGCAAGAAATGTGCCCTATCTAACACTTCCATTCCTCAGCCTGAAGAAGGATTTTTGGATCTTCTAAATATGAGACCATGAGTTGGATCCCCAGCATCACCCCATCGCTGTTTGGAATCCCCAATAATACAACAAAGTGTGCAATGTGTCTGACAAAGTATGCCTAAGGGTGGGAATAACATCAAGTGTGTATCCCCCATCTCTTGTGAATACTACAATTAAATAGTGCCATTCTCTTGAGGGCATCACCATCAAAGATAAGAGCTCTGCCACCAGGTGTGACACCTTTGGATCATCCTGGTCATCAACAGAACCACAAAAAAAGGAAGGGAAGGGGAAAATAATAGCGAAGTAAAAGGAAGAGTTGTCAATGAAAATTGAGATAATAACTGGTTTTGGTACACTATCAAGTGCATGACATTATTTATTTTCTATGAGAGTTAATGTTCTTGGGCAGGAGAGATAATACAGGGGTAGGGATTAAGGTCCTGCCTTGCATTATGCAGGACCTAATCCAATCCCTGGCACCCCATGGTCCCTGAAGACCAAGAGCAACCCCCAAGCACAGAGCCAGGAGTAGCCCCTGAGCACTGGTGCAACCAAATCCTCTCAAATGTTCAATAAACGTTTACTCTTACTTCTTTCAGTACTTACTGTTCACTATTCATTTAGTCCTTACTGGGGCCTTGGAAACCACTATCAAAATGCTACAAAATTATTAGGACACACTGACAAGCTCTGAGGAAACTTGTAACAGCCAATCATAAGTACAGAAGAATCACCATGGCTGTGAGATAAATGTATTTATTCTGACTCTTGTCAAGAAAATGACACCTTAATTAAGATTATATGACTTGATTGTTATTATAGAGGTGTGAATGTAATTTTCTTTTAAAAGTATATTTGATTTAGTCTTTATTGTTTTTTTCTACTTTGCAGTTTCTGTACCCTAACTGCTGTGTTTGCAATAGAGACCTATGGCCTGTTAGCCAGGTAATGACCCGGATTAAACCAAATTCAACGAGAGAAGTTCTAGAAAATACAGGTGGCAGTTTAAAAAAGGAAAAGCAGCCCTCCCTGATGGAACCCTCTTCAAGGGTCCCTAACATGTATTCCATTATGAAAATTAGCTCTTTTGTCAATGATTAACTAAACTTATATTTGAGGATCTGTCTCTGGGCTCTCAATACTATGCCATTGGTATGAGAGCCTGATTCTGTAGCTTTATATTGTAATTTAGAGTTGAAGTTGAAAAGAGGAGAAGTCGTTGCTATGTTGAACCTGGTTGTTTCCAGACCTTGATTACAGGAATTTTCTCTGGGTGGGGCAGGCTGAGTCCCTGCCCTGTTGGGGGACACAGTGCAACTCCATGACCAATCTCAAAGAGAAGTCACAGTGACTGGGGGGCCCGAGATGCCACAGTGCTGATCCACACTAGTGATAAAGCTGCTGGAGTATACACTGCATATCTCCAAAGTTCACAGCACTAACAGTTCATCTGGAACACACAAAATTACATGGGATAGTTGTGTAGAAGCCCACTGACCTCACTTAACACAAACAACAGCACAAAAGGTTCAGTTAGCACCTAACAGCTTAGCAAATCCTTCAACAATAACACCATTATGAGATATATGTTATAGGAAGCAATATAAAGTAAATTATTTTTTGCCTGCTAAGGGAGGTGGGATGAGGTGGGGGATAGGTGTGGGTAACTTGGGACATTGATGGAGGAAAGGGTCACACTGGAGGTAGGATTGGTATTGGAATATTGAATTCTTGAAATGACTGTATTATGAACAGCTTTGTAAATAGTGATGTTTAAATAAGTTTCAAACAGGGAAAAATATCTTTTTTAAAATTAGTGAGCCTAAGAGACAGTATAATGGGTAGGACATATTTGCCTTGCATGCAGTTAACCTAGGTCTATCCCCAGCATTCCATATGGTTCCCTGTGCACTGCCAGGAGTGATTCCTGAGTGCAGAGCCAAGAATAACCCCTGAGCATTTTCAAATATGACAAAAAAAGGGGGGGAAACATTTTTTTAGTAAAAAGGGGGGGAAATCTTCCTTTTTCTTAGTGATACTTTGACTGCTTGGGGAATTGTATTACTCCATATAAATTTTAACATCACTTTGTAAACTGCATTGAATCTATATAGTTCTTTGGGAAGGATGGTTATTTTGATAATGTTAATCCTTCCATCCATGATCAGTTTCTGTTTCTTTGTCTTATTTATTTTAGTAATGATTTATAGTTTTCTTTGTATGTCGTTTACCTGTTTTGTTAAGCTTTTGTTGGAGGCACAGTTATTTTTCAAACTTTCTCCCTTTCCTGCGGTTGAGACACAGATGAAGAGTGTGGTGTTGGAATGATGTGATGAGGAATATTAATAGTATTATAAACCACAGAATCTCAATCAAATATTTTAAATAAGTAAAGTGGGTGGGGCTGGAATAGTAATGCAGTGGGTAGGGTGCTTGCCTTGCACACAGCCAACCCAAGTTCAATCCCTGGCATCCCATCTGGCCCTCTGGTCACCCTCCCAGGAATGATTCCTGCACACAAAGCCAGGAGTAAGTCCTGAGCACCGCTTGGTGTGGTCCAAAACCAAAAAATAAATAAGTAAAATGGAAAAATAATATCTTTCTACCTCTTCTACTTTGTTGTTTGTAAATAGAAATGCCGTGAATTTCTGTGTGTTGATTTTGTAGCCTGCCACACCACTGTAGACGTTTATTATATATAGACTTTTTTGGTAGAGTATTCAGGGTTTTCAATATGTAGTATCAAATAGTATGGCATGCTATCAGAGCTATCATATCAACTAGCAAAATATCTTTCTTATCTAATTGTAATGGCAAGAGCTCCAATAGTTTGCTAATATCAAATAGTACTAAATACTATCACAGCTATTGTATCAACTAGCAAAATACCTCTTTCTTACCTAATTGGTATGGCAAGAACTCCAATACTTTGCAAATACCAAATAGCATTAAATACTATCAAAACTTTACTATCAACTAGCCAAATATCTCTTTCTTACCTAATTGGTATGACAAGAACTCCAATACTATGCTAAAAATTGTGGTGATGGTAGACAACTTTGTGCTGGGCCTGATATTCGAGGAAAGTCTTTCAGTTTTTTGTTATTGAATATAATGTTAGTTTAATTGTGGGTTGTGATAAATAGGTGGAAATATATTGAGGAAAGTTTCTCCTGTTCCCATTTTATTGTTTTTTTTATTAGGAATGGGTGTCGGATATTGACAAGTGCTTTGTATGCATAAATTGATATGATCATATGATTTTTTATTTTTCTTTTATTGATATGGTATATAATGTTAATTGACTTATATATATTAAAAACCACCTTTACATCGCTGGGATAAATCTTACTTGATCATAGTGTCTGATCCTTTTATTTATATCTCTTGATTGGGATTCTATCACTTACAATACTGTTAATGATGGTTTCTCGTGCACTTAATTCCAAAACCACACCCATCACCAGTGGACCAATCTCCCTTCCCCAGGGACTTCAGTGCCTCTACCTTTGTATAATCCTTTTAATGTATCATTGGATCCGATTTGCTAACATTTTGTTGAGGATCTTTGCATCTATGTTCATCAGTGAAATTGGTCTGTTCAATTTTAGTGACTTTTTCTTTTTTTAGTAATGTCTTTGTCTGCTTTGGGTATCAGAGTAATGTTTGTGTGGAAACTGGGATGATTCTCTAGTTCTTCAACTTCCTGGAAGAGCTTTAGGAGGATTGGAAGCAAGTCCTTCTTGCAGATTTGAAAGAACTTGGTAATAAACACATCTGGACCTAGGCTTTGGGGGTTTGTTTGCTTGATTTTTCTTTGTTTAGAGACCACACCTGGTGGTGCTCAGGGCTTACTTCTGGCTCTGTATTCTGGGATCAAGTTATTCTTGATGTACAGAGCCCTTAGTTATTAAGTAATGACCATCCCTGTCCCTTATAACCTTTTTAAAATTTAAAGCCTATGTTGTTTGATACAAGTATTCCTCTCCAGCCTTTTTAGAACTTTTTTCCAGTAGAATTGTTTTCCAGTCTTTGGCTTTTAACCTGTGTAACATGACTGGTCAGCTGTGTTTCAGCAGGCAGTTGGACTCAGTTTTTGGATCCAAACTACCACTCTGTGATTGATTGATGAGTTCAGTTCATTGCTGTCAAGTGACATTGTTGAGATAGATGAATATTTTGCAACATTTTGGAGTTATGCATGTTTGTGAAGTTTGTCTTGTTTTGTTTTCTTTGGGGGCAATACCTGATAATGCTCAGGACTCACTTGTGGCTGTGTGCTCAGAAACCATTCCTGGTGGTGTTCAAGGGACCATGTATGGGCTGGGGTTAGAACTGGGGTAAGCTTGTGCAAGGCAAGTCTTTCCAACCCCTGTCATGTTCTAAAAGAAACCTTTTTTAATGCTGGAAAATTGGTTTCTCAGTTGTGAACTTATCAAGTTATTTTCCATGCATGGAAACCTCACTTTTGAATGACAACCTAGCTGGATAGAATTTTCTTCTAAGAATTTTTATTTCATTGAGCTTGTTTTCTATATCCCATAATTTATCTCTGAACTGTATTACATTTTATAAATCTGTTGTTACTATTATGGTGTATCCTTTATATGGAACTTTATACTTTAATATTGCTACTTTCAAGATTCTATAGCTTTGGCTTTGCTTTTTTAACTACAATGTCTTAGAGTTTTTCTGTTTGGGTATATTTTAACTAGAAATTTTTCAAGGGGATGTTTTAAGAGGCAATTACCTGACTGTGGTCTCCCTTTTAAGTGATCTTTTTCATGCCCCTTAGCCATTTCCATGATCTGGCTACCCTTCATGTTGACTAGATTTTAAATTACACCCACGAATAGCTAAAGCAATTCTTGGTAAAAAGACATGTGGTTGTCCAGTTATACCAGCACCATTTGTTGAAGAGGCTTTCCTTGTTCCACTTCACATTTCTTTCTCCCTTATCAAAGATTAGATGTTCATACATTTTGGGTTGTGTGTATGGATATTTCAACCTATTCCATTGGTCTGCGGCTCTTTCTTTGTTCCAGTACCATACTGTCTTAATTATTACTGCTTTGTAGTAGAGTTTGAGGTTGGGAAGGGCAATGCCTCCCCATGTCTTTTTCCCAAGAATTTCTTTAACTATTCGTGGGAGTGTGTTGTTCCATATGATTTCAGGAGTGCTTGATCTATTTCTTTGAAGAATTTCATGAGTATCCTTATAGGCATCGCATTCAATCTGTATAATGCTTTCGGGAGTATTGCCATTTTGACGATGCTAATTCTTCCTATCTATGAGCAGGAGACATGTTTCTGTTTTCTCGTGTGCTCTTTTATTTCATGGAGTAGCGTTTTGTAGTTTTCATTGTAGAGGTCCTTTACCTCTTTAGTTAGGCTGATTTCGAGGTGTTTGATTTTCTGGGGCACAATTGTGAAAGGGATTATTTCTTTCATGTCACTTCCCCCTGTCTCATTATTTGCATATAGGAAGGCCATGGAGTTTTGGGCGTTGAATTTATAGCCTGTGACTTTACTGTACAAGTCTATTGTTTCTAGGACTTTCTTTGTAGAGTCTTTAGAATTCTCTAGATATAGTATCATATCGCAAACTCTCACTATCAAATAGTGAGAGCTTCATTTCTTCCTTTCCTATCTGGATACCTTTAATGTCTTTTTCCTGCCTAATCGCTATTGCAAGTACTTCCAGTACTATGTTAAACAGAAGTGGTGATAGTGGGCATCCTTGTCTTGTCCGTGATCTTAGAGGAAAGGCCCTTAGTTTTTCCCCATTGAGGATAATACTTGCCATGGGTTTGTCATAGATGGCTTTGACTATCTTGAGGAAAGTTCCATCAAAACCCATTTTGGTGAGAGTTTTCATCATAAACAGGTGCTGTATCTTGTCAAAAGCTTTCTCTGTGTCTATTGATATGATCATATGGTTTTTAATCTTTACTTTTGTTGATATGATGGATTATGTTGATTGATTTCTGAATGTTAAACCATCCTTGCATCCCCGAGATGAATCCCACTTTTTCGTGGTATATGATCTTTTTGATAAATTGTTGGATTCTCTTTGCTAACATTTTGTTGAGGATCTTCGC